AGGGGCAGAATATATGAAAAGGTGATAACAGAACTTTCCAAAACTAAAAGGCATCCAGCTACAGATTCAAAAAACCCTATAAACATAAAGCGACAAAGAAAACCACATCTGAACACATCATAGTTGAAGTGCTTTAAAAGTAAGACAGTCTTAAAAGTAGCCAAAGAAAAATAAAAGACACATTATCCTCAGCAAGAATATAACTAATACATTGCCTTCAATAAGACCGGTAGCTGACTTCAACAAAAAGAAAGGAAGACAGAAAGCAACCAAACATTCTTGAATGTGTTGAAAGAAAATAACTACCAACTTAGAACTTTATAGCCAATGAAAACACACTTCAGGCCAGCCACGGTGACTCATACCTGCAATCCTAGCACTTTGGGAGGCCAAGGTGGGCAGATCACTTGAGGCCATGAGTTTAGAGACCTGCGTGGCCAACATGGCGAAATCCTATCTCTACTAAAAATACAAAAAAATTTAGCTGGGCAAGGTAGCACACACCTATAATCCCAGCTACTCAAGAGGCTGTGGCATGAGAATCATTTGAACCCAGGAGGCAGAAGCTGCAGTGAGCTTAGATCAGCCACTGCACTCCAGCCTAGGCAACAGAACGAGACTGTATCAAAAAAACAAAACAAAACAAAACAAAACAAAACACTTCAAAAAGGTGAAACTGTCGTGCATGGTGGCTCACACCTATAACCCCAGCACTTTGGGAGGCCAAGGTGGGAGGATCTCTTAAGCCCAGGAGTTCAAGAACAGACTGGGCAATATGACAAGACCCTGTCCCTACAAAAAATTTAAAAATTAGTTGGGCATGGTGGCATGCGCCTGTGGTTCCAGCTACTGAGGAGGCTGAAGTGGAAGGACTGCCTGAGCCCAAAAGGTTTAGGCTACATTGAGCCATGTTATTACCACCACACTCCAGCCTGGGTGACAGAATGAGACCTTGTCTCAAAAAAAAAAAAAAAAAAAAACAGGTGAAATTGAGATATTTTCAGAGAAACAAAAATAGAAAAAAATCACTGATAGTAGGTAGGCCACTATCAAAATGCATAATATATGGAAGTGACAGTATTATTACTCTAAAAATTGAAAACAACTTCAATGTCCAACAGAAGATTGATAAGTATTACAGAGATGAGAACGTTATATACCTACTAAAAATAATCACATAGCAGAAAAATACTGACATGAAAATATGTTGATGATTCACTGTTAACAGCTTGCACTACAGTGGACTACATTATGAACCCGTAACATCATGTAAGTATACATATACTTATGTAATGGCTAAACAAAATGCAGGAAGCAGATAGATAATCAAGAAGATTAACAACAGCACTCTTGGTGGTAGGATCTCCAATGATACTGTTTTAATTTTTTTTTTTTTTTTTTGAGACTGAGTCTTGATATGTTGCACAGGCTGGAGTGCAATGGCGTGATCTCTGCTCACTGCAACCTCTCCCTCCTGGGTTCACGTAATTCTCCTGTCTTAGCCTCCCAAGTAGCTGGGATTACAGGCACTTGCCACCATGCCCAGCTAATTTTTGTATTTTTAGTAGAGATGGGGTTTCACCATGTTGGCCAGGCTGGTCTCGAGCTCCCGACGTCAAGTGATCCACCCATCTCGGCCTCCCAAAGTGCTGGGATTACAGGCATGAGCCACTGCGCCCAGTCTAAAATTTAATCTATGCTTTCTTAGTGTTTCCCAAGTTTTCTACCTTAGGGATGTGCTATTTTTACAACTGGGGGAAAGAGAGGAGGGGAGGGGAAGGGAGGGGAAAGGAGGGCAGGGGAAAGGAGGGTGAAGAGGGGAGGAGTGAAGGTGGAGGGGATGGGTGAAGGGGCAGGGGAGGGGAGGAGAGGAGAGTGGAGGGGGAAGGAAGGAGGGAGGGAGGGAGGGAGGAGGAGGGAGAGGGAGGGGAGAGAGGGGAGAGAAGAAGTGAAAAAAAAGAGGGAGGAAAAAAAGAAAAAAAGAGTAGGTGATAAATGTGAGGTGATAATAAAAAGGGGAGGAGTGATATGTGGTGTATGTGGTGATGAATGTAATATATATGGAGGGAGGGGAGAGGAGGAGAGGGAGGAGAGGGGGGAGGGAGGGAGAGGAGGGAGGAAGAGGGTAGGAGAGGGAGGAAGGGGAAGGGAGGGGAGGGACAAAGGCAACTTTTTATATTAAACTATATTTTAATACAAACGATAAGTTCTTAGCTAGGGATATGGTCTAACCTTTATTGGTATATCCCCCATTTGTGCTTTTTACCTTTTTTAAATACCAAAACCTGCCAACATGAATCAACCTGTACTTGCATTTTCCACTATTTGGACCTTGAGAGCTTGTTCCAAGGTTCTAGCAGGGGAGCGCAGATATTCATACACCCTTGACCCAAGACCAGTCCTCCTCTATTAGGGATGGTCATCCTCTCTGACCAAGCATGCAGCTTCGGGAGGGACACACATGGAGCAGTGAGGGAGGAAGGGGATGCCTGCCGAGTCAGCCAGATGAGCTGAATCAACCCTGGGGATCAGTGAGGTAACATGTCACAGCCAGAGAGCCCTCACATCTCATTTTCCACTATTTGGGATGAGAATTAAAAATGTTAACTACCTGAATATGAACTCCTTGAAAAAGAAAATTAATATCCGTCATTATTAATGTAAAAAATGAATGTTTCTGAAAAATGAAAAGCAAATTATATCTGAAACAGCATACTTTAAAACACAAAGTAATTCACAAAATTTCATTTTTCACAAGTGATTTCTTTCTGTAGACTTCTAAGACTTAAAATTAGCAGAATTATATCTCTGAAATATCCAACTAAAGTAATAACTCAGAGTTGAGGCTATGAGAATAAATTTAAATAATTTAACATCTGCATAATCAAAAAAATGGAAAAAAACAGGAATCTCTTTATCCACCTATTTAAGTTACACCTAATAGGGCTTTTAACAAACGGTTGTAAAGCAACCTGTAAATATAAATGCCATTATGTAATTATAGTCAATTAGTAATAATTATATTGCTGACACGTGAGTGTTCTATAAATAATTCATACAACTCTATCTAGAATTTTTGATTCAAAAAAAGGAGAAAATGCAACAGCCATTGGTGTAACGCCTACAAAGAACTTAAAAAATATTTTACTTTATGCATCTATAAAAAACTATAAGGAAACAGATAAACATCAAAAGGTTTAGCTACAGTGTGGAACTTTTGACTTTTCCCCCACAGTGTTGTTTTATTAAAATAGTCACAGCAAATAAATATTGTGACACAGCACTAGAAGTAAAAATGTGGGGAAGAGGTGACATAAAATACATGCTTCAAGACTGAGATAAGAGGAAACAATTTTCTTTTAATATTAACATTGGCTGACATATTTGGTGGTAGACAACAGTTAACTGATAGGATTTAATTTCCAAATTTTTCTAGCAATCTTGAAGTGATTAAAGAGGCTGTATTATAATTATTAAATAAAACATCAAAGGGTTCTTTCCAGTGGGAAAGCTTTTAAAAAAAAACTATTGAAATAGCTCTGTCTCACAGATCCCTGCTAAAAGAATGTAACAACTCCTTACATTATCAAGAGCTAAGATCTGAGCTAAGTTTCCTTTCTCAACTAATTAAAAGGTTGAGATACATATTCTCCCTCAAAACCCCATGCCTCTCCCCCACCAAAAAACAAAAACAAACAAAAAAACAGCCAGAAATAGGCTCACCCTTACAAATCTTGTGTGTAATTTTCTTTTAAAATTTGTCATTTTCTACCTTGTGTTATAATGTCTATGCTTTTCAGCTGGGCACGGTGGCTCACCCCTATAATCCCAGCACTTTGGGAGGCCGAGGTGGGCGGATCACCTGAGGTCAGCAGGTCAAGACCAGCCTGGCCAACACGGAGAAACATCGTGTCTACTAAAAATACAAACATTAGCCAGGTGTGGAAGCAGGCACCTGTAATCCCAGCTACTCTCGGGAGGCTGAGGCAGGAGAATCACTTGAACCCAGGAGGCGGAGGCTGCAGTGAGCTGAGATCATGCCACTGCACTCCAGCCTGGGTGACAGAGCAAGACTCTGTCTCTAATAATAATAATAATAATAATAATAATAGTCTATGCTGTTTTAACCATACTAGATTCCACCGAAGGCAGGGTCAATTATACTGCATCTTTCTAGGTATCTCCCATAGTAAACAGTCTTTATCAATACTCTGAACTTTTTGCAAACTCTATCAGCTAAAAAGAATTAAGGTTTGGTAATTCTTTGTAACCTGGTTTAAAACAAACAACCCTCTGGAACTATTAGAGAACCAGAGGGATGGATGGAGGAGAGAGTAGTGCATATTAGTTGTTTGCTGTCAGTTAAGCAAAAGCCAGACCAAAGAGCCTCTTCTCTCCTTTTCCCTTCAAAAGCTAAATTTTATCCAAGTCAGTAACAGTGTCCCTTAGCTAAGGAGAGTCTGCTTAGGTTCACTTCAGAGAAGCTCAAGAGGCTGGTGTAATCTAGGAGGCTTTCGTAGGAGTCTGCAAGCAAGTACAGAAGAAAAACAAATCGAAGTTTAACCCATACGCTATTGCTCAAGTCAAAAGCCAAAGAAAATCCTAAAACTTGGATTCTGAAGAGTCCTATAAAATTCATGTAATCCAAGTACTTCTTGGGTTTTGTTTTGTTTTAAAAAAGGGTGTCAACTCTGTCACCCAGGCTGCTCTTTTAGAACTCCTGGGTTCAAGTAATCCTCCCACCTCAGCCTCCCAATTAGCTGGAACTATGGTGCGCACCACCCCATCTGGCTATTTTTTTAAAAAACATGTTGTAGCAAAGAGGTCTCACTATGTTGTCCAGGCTGGTCCTGAACTCCTGGGCTCAAGCCATTCTCCTACGTCAGCCTCTCAAAGTTTACAGTAAATTCAATCTATACCAGATAAAATTTACATCAGTATGACCTCCCTGCAAACTCTGCAAATGCCTCCATAACAATTGGCCCCTCATTAGTGAAAAGATGAGTATGACCTACAGTCTATATCACATGTTAAGCTTTCTCACAGGCTCCAAGTCATGTCCCTGTCCTGCAGGTAATAACAGAGCCCATACTAGAGGCAAAATGACAAAGCAGATGATCATTCAAAATGATTCTGTTTTCGAGACTGAAAAGGACATATCTGCTAATGCACAGAAAAATATCTAGAAGATCATACAGTGGTGCTAACAGTGACACCCTTCAGTCAAGGTACGAGTAGCTGGGCTCCGCAGATTCCTCTGGGGAGGAATGTGAGCTAGAAGTGGATGTAAAGGGGTTGTCACTTATTATATATACACCATTGTTTTAACTTTTTATAAGCGTCAATTTACTTCTGTAATTTTAAAAATAAGAGTCCCGGCTACTCGGGATGCTGAGGCAGGAGAATCACTTCAACCCGGGAAGCGGAGGTTGCAGTGAGCCGAGATTGCACTACTGCACTCCAGCCTAGTGACAGAGTGAGACTCCGTATCAAAAAAAAAAAAAAGAAAGGAAAAAATAAATAAATATAATTCAATTTTTTAAAAAGATTGAATAGACCCACATGGAATTCAAATGAAAAATAAGTGCCACTTTGCAGAAGTCAATCAGAAAAACCTACATATCAAACAGAAATAATACAAGTATCCTACCCTACAAAATAAAAAGGAATACTGGTAATATTACAAAACTGCTCACAGCAACTGCAACCCATTACTCGCTAGTCACTACTTTGATTACACAATGTTAGTCACCAGGGGGAGTTTGAGGGTCCATCTAACAGCTGCCTGTGCAGTCTTAACCTCATTAAAAAGGTTTGCAACAATTTACAGTCCTAAAAAAATGTTCATTTTGTACACTGTCTCTTTTTTCATGAGAAACAACCAGACACACACACACACACACACACCCCAATTTACATTTCACCAGGGTTCATGTTTGATTTCCTCAAAAGAAAGAAAAGTTTCCCAATCTGAAAAGCAAACCAACCTGGACAATCAAGTTTACCAGCACTTAAAGGGAATGTTCACTTACTCCTCACAATTGTTCGTCATGAAACTTTGGGATTAAGTAAAATTTTATCCACTTACGACTCCTGAAAAAAAGAGGAGGGGGAAACACAAACTACACTCTGAAAGCAGCATAATCTAGCCATAATGCCAAATGTAAACAGTCATTATACATTTTAGCAAGGCAAAATGTAACTAAACATCTTTAAAAGATAAATGCCTGTGACCTCTGCAATCTTAAAAATTAAAGTGTAAATAGTCATAAAATGTATCCCAAACTCTTTTTAGTTGATTTTCCTAAAAAATATTAAAAGCAATCATATTGAAAATGACTCAAATCACCATAAATTAGGCAACAAAAATCACATAAATTATTTGGAAGAGGAGAATTTTTGTTTAACCCAGTTTATGAGTCCACAATATACACAAAAATTTGAAAACATGAAGACATACACATAATACATCTCATTTCCCACCATTCCCTCAGACACTATTTCTCACCCTCCTCTATTACTACTAGTTTTCTAAATCCTCCCAGAATTTCTTTATATAAAGAGCAAACATAAATTTGTATTATTATACCTCGCCCTTAAGACATAACAAACGCTATTCACAATGTACTACTTAGACCTTGCTTTTTTCACTTCATAACAAATTTTTGTGATCTTTCCCTGTTAGTACGCAGAAAGCTTCCTTATTCTTTTTTCATAACTGATTATGCCTAGCTTTAGAACATTTTCAGTCTGCTTTCTCCAGGCTAACCTTTTTTTTACTTCTTTTTATTATTATAATACTTTAAGTTCTAGGGTACATACGCACAACTTGCAGGTTTGTTACATATGTATACATGTGCCATGTCGGTGTGCTGCACCCATTAACTCATCATTTACATTAGGTATTTCTCCTAATGCTACAGGCTAACCTTTTAAGACATTCTGTTCAGCCAACTACTTAACACCGGAATTAATTTCCTTCCCCCAAGATTTGAAAACCAACCAGATTTGCGATGTCCCCAAGGGATACGTTTCAGAGAAAGCAACTCATTATCTAAATTACATCCTTTTAAGAATGTTTATTTTCAAACAGGTAGGGAGGAATATTGCACAATTTTCTCCTCTAATCGCTTAAAGCTACAAATCAGAATGCAATCTTCAAAGTAAAATTACCTTTCATTTGGGGGGTTCAGCGTTATAGTCAAATCAACAACGACTGTAAAAGTTTCTTTACTTCTTGTGCTTTTCTTCCACTGCAATTTTTTTTTAAATTTTTTAAAGAAGACTAGAAAGCGTTAAAGTCTAATAGCATGGCATTCTAATAGCAGGAAACCACAACCCGATTTGATCTTTCATCTGCCAGGTCAGAGACTGAGGCTTTTATCTTGCAGAATTAGGCTCACCTACCGTCAACAAGAGGACTTCTACAAAGCGACAAACACTTTCAAAGAATATAAACTCCGCGGCGCTGCGTGTAGGAAATTACACTCCAAGGGCCAGAGCCAACTCCAGAAAACCCGGCTTCACTGGCGAAAAGCAATCTACAAACGCCAGCGGGGGTGACCGGGAACGGGTAGCGCGGGTGGAGGAAAGAAGAGAAACCGAGCGCCTCGCCGCCAACCCTCGAACCCGCGCGCGGTCGCCGGAGTCAGACACTAAGAGCCCCGCGCTGCCCAGGGACGGAACCCCGGAACCACGACCACTTACGGAACCAGCCCGCGGGCGGCAACGGCGGCCGCTCGGACTGCGGACCGCGGCACGCGGGCCGGGCGCCGGGAGGGCGGGGGTTCCCCGGAGGAGCTGGCCGCCCCGGCGCCCCATTGGGCGCTGCTCCAAACGTGCCCGAGTGGTGACAGCAATAAAGTGGGTCACAAGGCCTAGCGGGTCCCCAGCGAAAGCGCTCTCGGCACCCAGTCCCCGGCTTTCCCCGCCTCCCAGTTGCTGGAATCAGCAGCAGCTCCGGGCGCCCTCAAGCCACCCGGCCCCGCCGTGCACCCCACTCCCGCCCCTGCCCCGCAGGTAACCCCAGCTGCCCCAGAGGGCCTCTCAGGCAGGGCGGGCCTCCGCCCCAAGTCCAGGGAAAAGACACACTAGAACAAGACGCCAAACTTGGGCTTCAGCTCCCGCCTTCCCCACCCTTGGCCGCCGCCCCCCGGCCCCACACACGCCGCCCCCCGCTCCCTCCCCTTCCCCGCGCCCTCACCGTGTGGCTTGCGGCGGCTCCGGCTTCTTCCCTCCCCCACCCAGGTCTCCCGCTGCGGTGGCTTGGAACCACCACTCTGCCTGTGTCCAGGAGGCGCCGCGGCTCCCACCTCCAGCAGCACCTGGGGCTGTGAGTGGCGCCCCCCACCCACCCCCCCAAAAATTCGCCGCTACTGTGGCCAGCTCCTCCTCCCCCTCCCTTCCCTTCCCTTCCTCCACCGACCGGGAGCGCGCATGCGCCCCGAGGAAGCCAACCGGTGGACAGCAGGCCCTGGGCCCACCGGGCGGGCGCCACTCACCGGGAGCGCTCACGGCGGCGGCCAGATTTCCTTCGCGCTCTCGCTCTCCGGGGTTTCCTTTTTTAAAACGGCAGCCGCAAGCCGAGTCAGTGATTGCGCCCCCTCCCGGCGCATGCGTCGTCAGCTACCCCGCGGGCTCCGACGGCCGGCGGAGGCTCTGCGCTCGCCCCTCCCCTCACTCTCCCTTTTCCCGGCGCGGCTCGGTGCGCATGCGACTTGCCCAGTTAGGCAGCACGGAGCCGCGCCAGGGATCCCGGACGCCCGAAAAGACTCCCGCTCCCTTGGGCCGAAACCTGGCTCTGCAGGCGCCCAGTTCCCTGCCCCGGCCGGGAAGGGCGCCGGTTACTAGAAAGCCGGGGAGGCGGGGCCTGGTCGGGTGGAGGGCGCGGCCGGCCGGCGGAGCGCTAGCCTTAGGTCCTGGAGGCTCTTTGGCTTTCCCCCCGTGTGCCGGGGGCGAGGAGGAGGAGGAAGAGCTTCCTGCCGGATGAGGGATCCGGAGGCCAGAAAGGGAACCCGCTCTCCCTTCCAAAGCAAAACACTGCAGACGCCAGGTTAGATTTTTCGGGTGTTGGCAGACTTTTTCCCCCAGTGGCATCACTCGCGTTTCCTCTCGTGGTGCTGGGAGTGAAGAGTTGAAGAGGCGCCTGGACCGCCAGTGACATCCTCTCCCATGTGGAGGAGCGAGGCTTGGGTTGCTTCTTATTGGTGGGTGGGTTTGGGGAGACAGGGCATGCGCCCTTGGCCGGAGGAGGGAAGCGAAAGGACGTCGGGATTTATTTGCTCATTTGGAGATTTTCCCCCGGCCTTTTATAAACACCAAGTGACAGTATGATGGAAGATGGGGAATGAAGCATCAGAAATAAACCAGGACCCTAATTTGCATGGATTTCCTCGTTGCAACAAGGTGTGACTACTACGTATCTTCGGGAAATGACTTCCCTTGATGCGTTAAGGCACTCTTGGTCCACAGGGGAAAGCACATTTCAGTGCTTCTACTGGAGAATAGATCTTTACAATCTTAATTCCTAGTAATTCCTATGTTTTAATGAATATCATTTGGATTTGAAATAAAAAGCCATCTTCTTGTTTCAAAAAATACACTTTACTTTTTTGGCTATAAAATCCTCCCTTTAAAGTAACATTCACCTCAGTAAACATTTTCAGTTCTTGCTGTATGCTCCGGGCAAAAGAACATCAAACTGAAGCACTTATTCAGATACTTGATCCTTCACCTAAGGATTTTTCTTTCAGGAGTGGGAAAACATGATTTGTTAATTGACCCCATCATATAACAGAAGATATTTTGGTCGACATTTTTGCCTGTTCAGCATTCATTCCCTATTCTGATAATTTCCTTTGAAGAACTATCATGTATCCACTCTCAGTCCACATGGTCTGAGCAGGACACAGGGGGAAAGCATATTTGAGTTTAATCCTCTGTTGCAAACTACAGTTCCTAAGAAAGGTTTTACCTCTTTACCAGTGGGTTTAAATCTGGGAGAATGGAAACCTGGAGCCGTCTTTCCACACGTGAATTCTGAGAAAGAAAGCAACATGGAAAATAAGCAGATTTGAAGACAAGAGGTTTGGCCTAAACACATGTTTGAGGCCCTGAAACAAATGTGGACTAGATTCCTCTGGAAATTTCATTAAACCAGTCAGTAAATTCTTGCATCTGTTTTATTGCTTAAACCAGTGAGAGGTTTTCTTTCACATGCAATCAAGAGTCCCGACTGACAAGAGGTAGGTAGGAAGACAGGAGGCAAAGTTAATAATACTGATAAGTTAGGTTGCAGCCAGACAAGAGAGGGTTTGAATGCTTTCCCTAGGATGGATTTTTGAATTTTATTCTAGAGACACTGATCCCTCCTTATAGTCCCCGTCATCTAGAATGTATTATCTTCAAAAATACCTTTGCCCTTTTTACTGATTTCATTGTCCTCTCAGTCACCAAGATCAAACCATGTCCATCTTTGACTCCTCTCTCTCTCATTGTGTTTAATTATTTACCAAGACCTGTTGATAATCCCCCGTTTTTCTGCTCAGTCCTCTCTCGCTGCTTGAACATTTCCCATGGTTCAGTTTACAGCTTCTCCTTTCTCCCAGATTCTCTCCAAGAAAAGAAAAAATGTACTACATGTGTTTTTTTTGTTTTGAGACAGAGTCTTGCTCTATTGCCCATCTGGAGTACAGTGGCATGATCTCAGCTCACTGCAACCTCTGCCTCCCAGGTTCAAGCAATTCTGCCTCAGCCTTCCAAGTAGCTGTGATTACAGACTCCCACCACCACGCCCAGCTAATTTTTGTATTTTTAGTAGAGATGGGGTGCCACCATGTTGGCCAGGCTGGTCTTGAACTCCTGGCCTCAAGTGATCCACCCGCCTCAGCCACCAGAAGTGCTGGGATTACAGGCGCAAGCCAGTGTACCGAGCCTGTATTGGATATTTCCAATAGCTTTTCCAACTTCCAGATCCCACACTTTCATAAAACAAAAATCCTGCCTCATAGTTTCATAGATCCTAAATTTATATTCCATAACCTTAAACATAATTTCAGATATTCTGTTCACTCCTTCTTGTGAACCTTGCTATCATTTAAACTGATTATTTTCTCAACTCCTCTGTCAACTGATTTCCCCCAGTTGGTAGGCAGTGTATCATAGTGGTTAAGAGTACAGAATCAGGATCTAAACTGCCTGCATTTAAATCATAGCTTCACAACTAATATCTGCATGACTTTAAGCAAGTTATTTCTCTGTTCTTTAATTTCCTCATCTGTAAAATGGGATAATTACAATCCTATCTCATAACTGAGACTGTGTGTGTGTGTGTGTGTGTGTCCGTGTGTACTTTTATCTGGTACATAAGAAATCCCATAGAAATGTTGGCTATTCTTGTCAATGATGTTCCTTTTTGGGTAATTTTCATATCTCTTTTACTCTAATTCTTGCCCTAACTCCTGTGTCACTCTGTCAGTCACAAAGTCATTATCTGTTCTTCCATAGTAACTCATCCATTCATTGACATTCCTAGTTTTACTACCATGCTTTAAGGTGAATTGGAGAACAGGAAGCTTTAAGATATGCTTAATACGGAATATAAGGTTAAGTATTTTTTTAAAGCTTGCATAGTTTATTCAGTTACTCATATTCTTTCTAATCCCTTTAAAATAGAACTACAAAATCCTGCCTCATACTTGAGGTAGTATTACAGACTTTGTGGTCAAAACTCTTGGCTTAAATTCTGACTAATGCTGAGAGATAGTGAGCAAATCAAGTAATTCCTCTGAGCTTCAGGTACTTATCTGTAAAGTTACAAGAATAGGCATTTCAGAGAACTGTGATGATCAAAGATAAATTAAACTGCTACATAAAGGTTAGGTGGTGATCTTTAAAGGTTGTAAATCTTTACAATTTCTTGTTGGAACCCTAGGAATAGTTGAAATGACTCACAGATTTTTTAACTCCAGCCTTTAGTTCTCCCCGGGGCTGTATACACACTGTCCAGTTATTTACCTGATGTCTTTTCTTCTGTATCACAAATATCTTGGATGCTCCCTTCAATCTATTCTCCACAGAGCAGCCAAATTATTTTGAAAATATAAATGAAGTCACGTTATTTTCTTCTAAAATCCCTTTTATCATTTCCCATTACATACAAATTCCTAATTATGGTCACAATAACCTGTTTGATCTGGCCCCTCCCTACCTCTCCAACCTCATGTCTTACCATTTTTTTCCTTTTCCTGTAACTCTCCAACTGAGAAACTGCCTTTCATTTCCTTGCTAATTTCTCTCTGCTCTCAGGCTTTCAGGCATGCTGTGCCCTTGACTGGACCCCTCCTACCTTTTCTCATGGCTGGCTCCTTCTCAATCATCACATCTCAAAGATCTAACTACCCTATTTAAGGAGGTCTCCTGCCAACATCCCACCTGCCCTCCCACCACCAATAATATGCAAAGTTATTCTCTTCTATTGTGTCCAGTTTCCCCCATAATACTTATAAGTTTAAATTATGTATATATTAGTTATATGTATATATTAGTTATATGTATATATGATATTTGTTTTCTTATTAACTATTTTCCCTACCACCACAAGGTAAACTCCAGAAGGGCAAGAACCATGTATTTTCTTTGCCACTCACTGTATGTGTAGCATCCATTTCAATACCTGAGGTGAGCTGTACCCACCTTGAAAGCTCGAGGATTGCTCGAGCCCAGGAGTTAAGGCAACATAGCAAGACCCCATCACTAAAATAAATTAATTAAAATTTAAAAATAAAAACCAGGTTGGGTGTGGTGGCTGACGCCTGTAATCCCAGGACTTTGGGAGGCCAAGGCAGGCAGATCACTTGAGGTCAGGAGTTTGATACCAGCCTGGCCAACATAGTGAAGCCCTGTCTCTACTAAAAATACAAAATAATTAGCCAGATGTGGTGGTGCATGTCTGTAGTCCTAGCCACCTGGGAGACTGTGGCAGGAAAATCACTTGAACCTGGGAGGCAGAGTCTGCAATGAGCCCAATTCGTGCTGCTGCACTCCAGCCTGGGTGACAGAGCAAGTCAGTCTCAAAAAAACAAAACAAAACCACCAAGGCCTGAGGTGAATAAATGATTTAATGAGTGAATGAAATACCAGAAAGAAGATTTTTAGGATCATCTTTATCCTAAATTATGACTGTAGGCAGATTATTGTCAAGGGGTAGCCTTAGTAATGTGCATGAAAGTGTGTCCGGAATTTATTCCTTCTGGTGGGTTCTTGGTCTCACTGACTTCAAGAATGAAGCCGCGGACCCTCGTGGTGAGTGTTATAGCTCTTAAAGATGGTGTGTCTGGAGTTTGTTCTTTCCGATGTTCAGATGTGTCTGGAGTTTCTTCCTTCCGGTGGGTTTGTGGTCTCACTGACTTCAGGAGTGAAGCCGCAGACCTTCCCAGTGAGTGTTACAGCTCTTAAAGGTGGCGCGTCCGGAGTTGTTTGTTCCTCCTGGTGGGTTTGTGGTCTTGCTGACTTCAGGAATGAAGCTGCAGACCCTCGCAGTGAGTGTTACAGCGCATAAAGGTAATGCGGACCCAAAGAGTGAGCAGCACCAAGATTTATTGTTAAGAGTGAAAGAACAAAGCTTCCACAGCATGGAAGGGGGCCCAAGCAGGTTGCTGCTGCTGGCTTAGGTGACCAGCTTTTATTCCCTTGTTTGGCCCTGCCCACATCCTGCTGATTGGTCCATTTTACAGAGCACTGATTGGTCTATTTTACAGACTACTGATTGGTGCATTTACAATCTTTTAACTTGACACAGAATGCTGATTGGTGCGTTTTTACAGAGTGCTGACTGGTGCGTTTACAATCCTTTAGCTAGACAGAGAGCACTGATTGGTGCATTTACAATCCTTTAGCTAGACACAAGAGTTCTCCAAGTCCCCACCAAACCCAGAAGCCCAGCTGGCTTCACCTCTCAAAAGTACAAAGGAGAAACAAACTAAAATCAGTCGGTGAAATATGATGTGACTAATACTATTCTAGTGATTGAATACTTGAGAACCAACAAGAATATGTAACACTAATAAGTACAGCTAATACCTGTATAAGAAGATGCTGACTGAAATCTAAAATAAGGAACAAGTGCATGAAGTACCTCACCTTCTAAAGAGCTGCCGACATTTCGGGTCGGATACCCACTCCTTCACCCAAGGATAAAAGTTGGACAAAAAGGGATCTACCATAGCCAAAACCTCTAACTCTCTACTTTCAGACCATATAAGCCCAACACTTGGCAAGAGGGAAAAACACCTGAGAGAATCACTGAAGCCAGGCTCTTGGTGTGTACTATGGCTTTTCCTTTCCTTTTTATGCCTTACCCTACCCCAAGTGAACAAGACTCCAGCAGAATCAGGTGACTGTGAGGGAGGGAGAGTGGCATCTGATTCACTATCAAACTTGCTGATATTGCCTTGTACCTACATGAAACAGGAAAAGAGTTGGAGAAATAGCTGGCCAGGGAGTAGGCTGAAATAAAGCAACCTACAACATCTACCATGTGGTGTAGCAAGGATACCATGGTTGTGTAAGTTTCTCATGTGTCAATTGATGCTGTGTGGAAAATGCTGTTCAGATTTGAACCATCTTGACACCCAAGGGGGAAGGAAATTCTAGTAGCAAGAGGCTGGATTTACTTCTAGGAGAGGAAACTAAGAGAGTTAGCAGAGATAGAGCTAAGACTGGTCCATCTCTCATGTCAATCAAGGGACTGTGCAGTTGGGAAGCTGTTTCAGAGTTTCTAGGAGAACTCAATGTGCCCCATTAAAGAGTGAACAATTTGGATGCAGTATTCATTGTACAGTTAAGGGAAATTTATCCCTTTCATCCCTGTTCTCTCTCCTAGTCCCCAACAGAAGAGGGATAGGCCCTGAAAGTGTTACTGGTAGAGGGTCTTGACTGCAAGGTGTCCAAGTTCTTGGTGTTTTGAACAAAGAATTGGACAAAACGCCCAGCAAAGTAAAGACAGAATAAAGTAACTAAAGAACGAAAGCAGGGATTTATTGAAAATGAAAGTACACTTCACAGTGTGGGAGCAGGCATGAGCAGTGGCTCAGAATCTTCTCCGGTCCAAATACCCCCTAGAGGCTTCCTATTGGCCACTTCATTTCATGAAGTGGTGGCTTGCACCAATCAG